GCTCAAACTCGATATGGGGGTGTCTCCGGTTTTGGGACTTAAACCCACCGAACATGCGGTACCAACTAAAATAAAAGAACCACACCCAAATGGAGGATTGGATCCTAACAATTGTCCAAAGGGACCCCCCTCCCCCGCCAAGGAACCCCAAGCCAATCCTAATCCACGACCGGTCGAGCCGGCAAAAAAGCGTCCGCTTCAGCGGCTGCGGAAGGATCTCGGAGCAGGTGATTTGTTCACGCATGCGTACGTCTCAAAATGTTCACTTCCCCAAAGGACCTGGAAACAGAAGATTAAGATGTTGGGGCCAGAACTAAACGTGGGAACCCAAAAAGAGGAAACCAAAAGGTCAAAAGATCAACTGAAATTTTGGAATCGGAGCCCGCAAAATGCGCAAAGTCCCACAATTTGTCCCTTTCAACCAACCGAAAAAGCGTAAACTTTATGCTTGGTTTGTTATATATATATATATATGTTATTACTTTTACATACACCTTCTGGCGTCTGCACGGCTTTGCCGCGTGCGAGGGAACCTGGGATCAAGCAAGCAAGCAAGCAAAGTTGGGATGGACGAAACCCGATTTGAATGCTGGTGGATTACAGGGCTGACCTGCTGCCATGACTACCAATGGGAGCCCGAAAACGGCTCCACCTGTAAACTTGCGATTGCGAGAGAGGGAATGAGAATAACCGCGAGATAAACCAACGGCTGGTGGTTTCCTTCCTAGGCCTTTGGCCTGGGCTCCTAAGGTGGGCTCATTCCATTTCAAGGTTCCCTACTACGTACCTACCTACCAAGGGTTCATTTCCTAAACCGACGGTTCATTTCCCTACCGATGGAATGAAACCCATCGGTTCATTTCCTTACCGATTTCGCTTTCCGATCGCAAAGTGCTGAAGCTGAACTTCAACTCAGCGAGCCCAACCCCCCGCCCTTTGTTCGGAACCACTCAGACCAGTGCCTCCTTCTGGCGGTCGGGATTCGCCTGCAGGAGGAAATCAGAAAAAGACAAAAGGCGAAGAGAACAAGGGAAAAAAGAGAGAAGGGAAAAGAGAAACAAGGGATAAACGGCGACTGCTTTTGTTTGCTTCTCATTGCCATTGTTGACTAGACGGACATGTAGACGTGTCAACAATAACAACTTTTGGTAGAAATGGTTCCCATGGAAATCCCAAATCCATGGCTTCTACATCATAACCAGCAAAGGAGTGGTTTGACAACGCCACATTTGGGTGGTTACCCTTCCTCCCACTACAGAGCAGTTGTGGGCAGGGTACCTGGATCAGCAATTTCCTCCAGGGACGCCCTGTCAGGTCCAATGTTGAGAGGGAGGAGCCTGGACCTGGTCCGCCCGAGTTTGAGAAGGCAACCCACCAACCCGCCCCACGGCGGGAAGGGAAGCGGGAAGCATGAGGACAGAGCCGCACGTGTGTGCGTGAAAAAACGGCTGTGAAGGCCAAGATGAGAGGGGTAGGCCTGGCACAAATGGGCTGAACTTCTGGGCGGTTCTCAGATCCCCTGCGAAAAAAATAACCCCACGAAACCAACTAAAACCGTAAAAGCCTAAGGACTGGACGCCTGGGAGCCGCCAAGACAAATGGCATTCAACTCACAAACCAGAGTAGATATCCTTTTGGGAAATAGATGGCCCTGGTACATGGGGCGTAAAACCCATCTAAACCAGTGGAACGCATCTATTTCGAACCAAACTGAAAAGGACAACGATGGTGCGGACAAAACGTATCGAGCCGTCGACGTTTAGAGCTGCCTGCTCGATCCAGACTGCCGTCCACAGAAGAAGAACCGAAACTCATGGGCATGTCGTGTTGTGAGGCTGCGCTTTTTCGGGGTGGCGTTCAACGGAAAATCGACATTTTTGGGGCTCCCCCAAAGAAGACAATCATGGAGTGATACCACTTCAAGAAGTTGCCGAGGCAGCCATGGTCTCATCGCCTCTAGCCCAATCTGAATGGGCTCCCTGGTGCAACGAGAGCAGGCGGTATCAGCGTGCGAATCTGGCTTGCCTAGAATGCTTTTGACCACCAGGGGGCTCACTGCAGCCCAAATCTTTCCAGTCGCCATAGCTCCCACATTTGCTTCAAGCATGCCACATGCAAAAAAGGCAACACTGGTTTCTTTCAATTACGGCTCTGCCCAAAAAATAGCCTAAGGCGCATTTCGATGGTCCGTGAGATAGCATGGCTAGTAACAACGGACCCCCAGTTCACTCTGCATGCTGTTGCTAAGCATTTGGGTTCTTGCTTGGTAGAAGTTTCTTCAAAGGTTGCAAACGCCCCCTCCCGGTGCCCTACTTTGCCCGCCTCAAGCAAGGCATAGGTTCTGTTGAGTGCCTCCTCTTCTGCCTTGACGGCCACGTCGTCCATAGCTGTCATGAATCTCGCGGAAGGACGGAAGGATGGGGCGAGCCGATCCCCAGAAAAGCGCCCCGGGCCTTTTTGACTTAGGGAAACCAAGAGGCGGGTTGGAACTGTTGATTCCGCCTGAATGCAAAGAGCCGGTGCGTCATAATCAAGGCTTTCAAATGGTCTACTCAGAACCATGTAATGATTTGGGTGTGGGTCAAAAATAGGTACCCCAGAATGGCTTGCCCTGGCAAAAGGCACCAAGGACTAAAACCTGCGGTCCATATCCTGGTGGTTTGATTTTGACCCATACTCAATTGAAAAGGCGTGGAGTTTCGGTTTTGGGCGCTCAAGTGGCCGGTTTATTGGCTCCTCACCCCGAGGCTGGAATCCCTCAGAAGAAATGAGCGCGGTTTGGCAAACCTGAGGATCCACTTGGGTTTACATCTCCTGAACACTCTCAAAAAAGGGGGCATCCTCATTTGGGTATGAATCTCACAGAAAGCCCGATAGGGTGACAGCAGAATTTAAGATTCCGATCCGATTCATTTCCAGTTTGTTTTGTTTTGCTTTCCTTTTTTTGTGCGGCGATTCAAATTGGTAAAGTTCATGGCCATGGAAGCACAGAAGGCTTCCTCATTGAGAAGGATTTGTGGAGCTCCGCGAAACCAGCAGAAGCCAAAAACCCAAATTATGTCCTACTTGTCCATGCAGTACAAGGTTGTTCTTTGGGGTTTGAACCGATCGATCAAAGCGGGATGTTCCGACAAATGCTCGACGTATGCGAGCTTTGCATAGCGTTTGTTTGCGAAAAGGATGGCAGGATTGGCAAACCTTTGGTTGGTTAATAGGGGTGTCCAATTTAAGAGGGAATCCACACCACCCGTTGATCCGCCCGGCTGATTGAAGCCGGGGTCGCTACACGGAAGGGGTAGCTGACCTTCTGAAATTCGGAAAGCCAGGAACATGTCCCAGGACGAGCAAATGGTCAAACCTATGTCCATGTTGCGCATCGAACCATAACTCCACGAAGCCAGCTTCTGGGGCACAGCTTTCTGGGGTTTCTTGTTAGTGGCAGCAAAAATAAGCCGGTCGAGGGCGACAAGATGCGTCAGCAACCGCCTGCCGGGTTCTGGTAGGGAAAGTGCAACAAAGCCCATACACTCTGCAAGCAATTTCTGCGTACATTGGTATGTTCTTGTTAGAGAACCCCCAAAAATGATGCTTTTCCTTTTGGTGTCCCTTCAAAAACAAAAAAAGGCGGAGTGCCCTCAAAAATCGACACACCCAAATGGTTATCCCTCCAACCATATGGGTCTGCCTCAGAATAGTGTGCCCCTTTTTGGATGTGTCGAAAAGGAAACCAGCAGCAAACCGCCTGGGGAAATTGGTCCCCTGAAGACACACCCATATTCATTCCAACCAACAATCGCATTGCCAACCAGCTTGGCGCCAAGCTAAATGTGCTAGCAACTAACCCTTGCTGTGGAGACCTGGTTTGGTGGGCGGCTGTTTGCCGTTTGTTTGGCTTCCAAACACCCCCGCAACCTTGGGGGGGTCGATTCCCGAATCGATTCCCCGCAACCCGGCCACGAGTTGGATCCATCCGGCCAGGGGCTGGCTACTCTCCCACAAATTAACATCTCTAAAGGGAGTTTCCCCTACAAACGGCTGGGTTTTGTGGGTTCCTTCCGTTGTTGGGAGTAGCTTTGATTTGGTTTCCCGTTGCAGTGGCAGTTCCTCAAAGCCACCCTTAAGGTGGTTGGCTTCCTGGGTTCCCCTGAGCAAACCACCATCACACCCTTCATGCCAAGCAACGCTTCCAGTCTGAGCCCAGTCCAGCCTCGGCTCGAAAGCAAGGGCCCATACGCGCGAAGCCCCATCCCCATCCCAGACCCCTGTCCCCATTTTACCCTTTGAGAGCCGCACATGGCCAAGACTTCGTCAAGTGTGGGCCATTGTCATTCCTTGATGAGAACCCTGGTTGTTCCAAAAGGAGGGTGACCCACTGTAATTTCATAGTGACAATGCCAAGGCGTCGGTGCACTGTCCACTGCCTCGAGTGGGATTGCATCCAGCTACATGCTAATTGACCTCGCAGAAGACCGCCGGAGTGTTTGTTTCGTCTGCATTTGCTGAGTGGCAGGGTTGCCTAGATTTGTTTCACCTGGTGCCGGACAGCGCTCATATATCAATCAATATTCAATGTCCCCTGCCAACATGAGATGTTGACATCTGCAACCCAGAAGGACACTCGTTTAGATGGCCGTGGGACCCGATCTTTCGGCTGAGAACTTCTTGCGATTCGTCCCAAACCGCAAGGCCTTCGGTGCAAGGCGTAAGGCGCAAGGGAAGGCGGAACGAAGCGCAGGCCGCCGCCCGTCGTTTTCGCATAGCTCTTTTGGAACGGTCCCTTTGGCAAGACCATCGAACCAAAAAACTGAGACCAGTTCGGTTCAATGGATCAAAAGGTGCCAAGATCCATTTCAAGAGACCTGTGGCCTATGGTTCCAGGGAACCCTTGCGGTCTAAACTCACAAAGGGGCATGACGCGGCATGGCCACAAGCAACCCCGAGGAAAAAGATGGAAGGGTACCCGCTTCCGAACTTCTGGCGACCGATTGCAACACCTCAGG